TGGCAAAGTGTATTTTGCGGAAATAAAGAACGTGGAATTTAAAAGAACTAAAAAAGAGACGTCATTTAACGCCTTTTAATAATGAATGTTACTTGTACCCTTGAATTAGGTAACCTCAAGTTAATTCTTGAATTAATTCTTCGCGTTTGCTAAGTTAACGATTCAGTAAGTACACTTATTTTTTAACCCTCGTTTGCTTACTGGACCAAAGGGTGTAACAATTATCGTTAGGTAAAGTTAATCAAGTGTATCTCTCCCTTCGATTTGGAATAATTTTGTTATAGGTAACTCTAATTAGCAGTTTTATCCTTAATATATTTATAGCTATAAATGGCTTGCATCTTCTTCAAATTCCCTCATCTTATTGTTTTCCGCCTTCCGCAAACATTGAACTTCTGTGAATAACGTCACTCAGATGAGCTTTGTGAATAGCTTCGATCCTAATGAGCCTACCGGCTTTGAACTTGGCCTAGAATTAGGTCTTAATTGTGTTCGTGGCCCATGCGGCGACGTACTGAGCTCCCCTGCATTGGCTGCCTGCCTCAAGGACATGGTATCTGCCCTTGATAGCCCTCTGGGTAGGCCGTCGGGTATCTACCCCACTTCAAGTAGAAGAAGTAAGTAAACGTTGACGAAATAATATACAGCAGCATGGGTATTCTTGAAATTGTATACCCCTCTTACATATTGTTATTAATACTATCGTTGCTGGCACCATGTCAGCATGATTATTTTTTACTTAACTGCTCTGAATTCACCACATAACATCACCAAATTTTTCCTTCATTAACGGAGAAAATTTTACTTGCATGATGGGTTTTCGGTTAATTGGTCCTGGACAAGAGGTTCGCCAAAATGAACTACTTTTGACTTTAGCTGATATCCTCGCACCTTAGAAAAGGGGCCTTCCATTATTCAATGGAGGAGATTAAGCGCTATTCCGCTCTTGAACAGCAAATTTTCCAACCATTCACTTACTTTACCGCGAGTCTCTCGGACTAGTTTTCTGTTAGTTGAGAAGATAAGATGTCGTGTCTGTTTGGCTCGTTAGCATTGTCAGAGTTTTGTTTAGTTGCCTTTATCTGAAACCTAGTTGTTATCATTATGCGCCAGTTTTATATGGCATTATTAGAAGCGACAATAATTCTGCCCCAAATTGATCAGAGTTCACTGGGTCATACATTCCAAAAGACTTTAACATCTAGCTTGGACAGAAATAGGTCTCATTAGCATCTCAATAGGAACCAAACAATTAATTATGACATAACCTTCCATTTCGAAGGAAAATTAAGTGGAAAAAAATCGTGAAATGGTTGCACTGGAAACCGGAGGAGGATTTCCACGGAGAGAGAACTGTTGGATTGTGCGAGAAAGTCCTTGGCTCACGGTCCTGCAACCTTGGTGAACCTGTGCTAAGTTTTCGTCTGTACCTTGACAGAAATCATCAGAGCAAGAATCTACACTCTATGAAATAACCCAAAAATATACTAAGCCAAGAGAAAAGGTGGCCGGCAGTAACCATAGCCACGTTTAAGTATCCAATCATTTACTTAGCTACCTCA